CATGGACTAAGTATTTTGAAGAGGATACCTGCTTTTGCTGGTCATCTATGATATTTTGCCATTTGCACTAAGTGTTTTGAGAAATGCATTCGCTGTTATGCAAAGTCTGTTGTGAGAAATACACCAAAGCAACTGAGAAAAACTGTAAAATCCTTCTGTTTAAGCCATTAAGTTTTAGAAATAAATAATCATATTATAAAATGAAAATTATTATTATGCGTTGTATGGGTCATTATGGTGGAAGAATTTACAAATTCTGAAACTTCCTAACACATTACAGTGAAAATTTTTTGAGTTTTAGTGTGAACCTTTATTCCCATTTTTTTAAACCTTACCTTTGCCTTTCTAGCACAGATAGATATTTTTCATGAAGCAAATTCAGTAAATCAAGTTTTTGAATATCCTGTATCCAGAGCTCCTGATTTATGGCCCTACCAATGTATCTTTCTAGTAATCAGCTCAGTGTTGGTTCAAAAACTGTGCAATATTTGTGTCCGATTTAGATACTTTAATTATGAACAATATAGTCTGTAGGATAACCAGCAACGTCCATCAATTCATCTTTCATACATCTGATACATCTCAACGCTGAATGGGATTCCAGTACAAACAACATTTTGTTTTATAACTATTCTTTAAAGGGTTATGGTAAAGTAGCAGATTTTGGAAATGTGGATATATATGATTTATGATAATATTTTTTTTTGTAATAAGAGCACATTTATAAAATATCCTCTCGTTTTAAGAGTTATTTGTTTATTACTTTGAATATATCAATTGTAACCTATGGGTATGTGTAAGTCCCCTCAAAAATATAGAGGGTGCAGGTTTCGAAAGACAGAGGCCTAGATAAATTTGTCCAGCCGCATCATAGATACTTTGCAGTTCCTAAAGGAAAAGAACAGCATCTGTGTCAGTTGATCAATAGCACCAGTGTAACAGCTTGATGTGCCTTTTTAACTGTGATTGCTCAGGAATTCCACCCATCATGATTCTCTGAAATTTCGTGTAAGCAAAAGCCTCACAGGGAGAAAAACATGCAGACTGCTTTGGCATATCAGCTGAACTTGGGTCTGAGACCAACACCTCAGAAGGAGATTCCCACTTATTCCCTTATCGTTAGTTTAATAAAAAAAAATCAACATAATTGCTTCCATAATGATATAACTAACTACTAGGAATAATTGTTTTTATCAGAATACAGCTGTTCCATAACTAATTCTTCGATTACAAGCATATCATGCACCGTTATATGTTTGTAACGTTGCTATCCTTCTGTGACCAGCAGAGGGCACTATATAGCAAAATTTTAAATAATGCCTAGTTTGCTTTAATAAGTACTAATTTTATAGTTCAGTATAAAACAAAAACAATTAAGCAAAATAAGTAACCTGCACACTCATCATTCTAAAATTGAAATGATAATAATCAATGTCTTTCATAAATACCATTTTGATTAAAGTAACATTCAAATGCCAATATGCCATTTTCAGATTAATTTCCGTAACAATAAATGCAGTAACGTACGGAGTACACTAACACAAGTAATAACTTATTTTAGTGTACTCCGCACGTTACTGCATTTATTGTTACGGAAATTAATCTTTATAGTTAAATACACTATATAAATTTACTGGGCTGGGAGTACGGGGTCATAGTGAGTTAGTTAATTATGGGGCCGGCTCAGTGTTGCGTTTGCAAGATGTTTGCCCTTCTGGACGTTAGTGTCCAGTCGGACTTCATCTGCGAGCGATGTAAGCTAGTGGACTCACTCATGGTCAAGGTTTGCGACCAGCTGGGGTGGATCCAGTTGTCGTGGTGCATGTTGGCACCAACGACATAGGCAAGGGTAGAAGGGCTGTTCTGCAGGATAAATTTATAGAAGTCGCCAATAAGCTTAGAAGCAGAGCGTGCATGGTGGTATTTTCTGAAATACTCCCCGTGCCACGCGCAAGTCAGGCTAAGTTAGCTGAGATAAGGAGATTAAATGCGTGGCTAAAAGGATGGTGTAGGAAA